CTTATACTGCTTCTAATGGCTGCATGGTGGGGTCCAGTATCTGGCTATCCAGATGGGCTGAGGAACCACTTGAGGCTGATGGGACCCTTAACACACAGAGAAGGGACATGTACCTTGGTGTTTATGGTGCACTCGGCATAGGTCAAGGTTGGTTCATTCAAGTGGTTCATTGAAGTGATACTGTATAACTACTGCATGACACACACACATATGCCTACATAGATATTAAGGTATATGATAATCTCTTATAACTGATGGGTTCATCTGAGCTCAGCTCTTTCAGCTTGTACTTAAAAAAAGAAAGAAGAAAATGATAAAAACAATTAGGAAAGGGAACTCACATTCACAAACACACCTACACACCTACATATTCCCCACCCCCTTTTAACTGATCTTATGTATGTATAGTTGCGGATAAATGAATGGTCAGTTGCAGAGCCAGCATAGTCCTTTGTGAGTGTTCTTTCTACCTGACAACATTTTGGTATATGAGGTTGTCAAAGAAGACTACTGCAGACAGTCAGCATGAGATATGTCAAATGTTGATTTATCAACACTTAATTAACATTTTGAAAGACTTGAGGAGAATCTGATCAGTTTAATTTAGTACAAACCTAGTAATTGGGATTAAATGTTCCATGTGATTGGGTCACTTGTGGGTCATGATGCTCATTTAATTTTGTGATGTGACTCTTTGTTGGGTCACAATTAGAAATTCATAACTTCTAGTCAATACAGGTATGATGATATTATTTGTTTTATATGAAGCTCATGAACATGAATTTAGTTTAAAGAGTAATTTTATTTTTTAAGAAATCATCAATAGAAAGCATGCATGCAGTAGAAATTACTATTTTGTTTTTACCGATTCCATGATAATATCAATATGTTCCTACCATTCTGAAAACACAACATGCAGCAAGCTTCTACCCACTCTAGCCTCTCAGACCTTGTTACTATTCATGCCTGGTAGATGATTTTCACACATTTTTCTTATTTTTATGAATATAGAACTGTACATGTACCTTGAATTTCATGATTTTTAAATCAAGACCTACTGAATTTACCTACAAAGTGTAAAATTACTTGTGGGTATTGTTAGAAAGACATTTTTTTTCTTTTCTTTTTTTTTTTTTGTCCTTAAATTCAATTTGACCCACCAGTGTGCATTTTTATACATCTATCAGACTCTTCAAAACACAAAACAACCAAGCACCTCTTCTTAACCTGAAGTGGGCCTTATTGGCTCATGGTGAATCTACCATGAAAGATTTCAATCAGTTTCAAGGACTTGTACATGGTGCGCTTACAGTAAAGATGCACAAACGCATACGATTCTCTATTTTCCGAGTTGAAGTTTATTTATGGTTTTATTACCGTGTATTGTGTAGCATATTCATTAAAATAGTTTAACTGGATTCATATAGAACAACTTCAACTGGCATGGCCTCCAAGCTTTGCAGGCTCTGCCTATCTTGACCTGTTGGCAAGTATTACTGAACCTACTAGCGATGTTATATTTTGAAGCCGAAAATAATAGTTTCCGGGCAGCTTCATAATTGTCGCATGGGCAGATTCTGGGCCAGCCCCCGGCCTGCGACGGAATCGGAGTGCAATCTCTGATCCAGCATCACACTGGTGGGATGCCTGGTAATGTTTATTTTTCTGGGTTTCTCATATGTGGGACACCTGTCGTAATTTTTTTTTTCTCACCTGAGGGGGATAAACTAGCTAGAAGGTTTGCAGGTCTTAGGGGTTAGAAGAATCTTATAATAAGGGAGAGGGTGCTAAAGAAAACTTACGGTCAGTTGTGAAAGGAAAGAAAACTTTGCTTGGAATTCAATGATAGGATGAGATAAGTACTTTTAACAATACATCAAAGAGTTTAGCAATAATTTTAGTGTATTTTACACAATGGATGCCTCGAAGGCAAGTGTCTAGAGTTTATAAGATGCAATATTATTCCATAGATATTACATTTTCATTTTTTATTCAGTTACAGTCCATGCACAGAATTATATGGTTCAGATTCTTTTGCAGATGTACTAGACCTTATAAAGTATTATTAAATGTAATTATGTGCTTATTGATAATTGTAGCATGACAGTAAGGGTTCATACCAGCATCACTTCATACAGTGTTACCAGATGGAGCAAACACCTATAAGAGACTGTGTTGGCTATGCTTCTAACCTTTCATTTACCTCTGACTGTACATGCATGTATATCTATCACTCTATATATGTCTGTCTATCTATATCTCTATCTATATATATGTCTATCTATCATACATATATACATATGTATATATGTATGTATCATTATCTATTTATGTATGTATGTATATATGTATCTACCTCTCTATCTATCTATATATATATGTAGATAGATAGATAGATATTAGATAGATATTGATATAGATATAGATGATACTGTCACATACTATATATGGTATTAATGATTGAATCATATTTCATTTATTATTATTACTAGAATTATGA